TTAAAACCCTGGTTCCCATCTTCAGACTGCGCCAGTTCTTCGTTTATTCTTCAGTGGTAAACTATCGTCCAGGCCTACTAGTGTTTTTTCCTAGTGACTTTTTGATGCTCCTAGTGAAGGGAGATAATTTCCTAATCCTGCTTGTTTTTCCTGTTCCAGATCCACATACTCCAGCCGCTCTGCCTGCCACGTCCAGCCTTCCCTCCTGAGCAGCCCAGCTCCACGTCTTCCCTCTATGTGTGCTTCGTCAACTCCTTGTCAGTGTCGTGGACAAAATAAAGCCTTTTTGACACTTCACCACAGTCTCAGTTGTAGTGCTTGCATAGCGGGTTCTCATCTCCAGTCACTTCTCGGGAAACCTAACACTGGTGTTTGTTGTCCCCCTCTAGTTTGTGCACACTAAAGCATTTTACTCTGGGCTCAGCAGGTGAGAAACTAAAGACGGGCTTCCACATGTGGCAGACCAGGTGTTGGTGCTGCCGGATTTGGCACCCCCACTATAACTTTGTCCAAGATAGTTGCACTGTCACCAAAATTGTTTGTTCTTTCCATCTTATCTGAGAAGGTTTTTCATCTTCTGTCTAATGTTATGTTGGTGTCTCGTTTCGGTCATAACACCATTTGCTGGTTTCAGAGTTATCTAACTGACCGTACTCAATGCGTCAGGTTGGGTAGTGTTAGAGAATAATTCTGTCTTACTCCTAAGATATTTAACCTTTTTGCCTGTTGACGTTGATGACCAACCCTGTCCCTGACTCTGTTATCTGCCTTAAGGAATGTGCTAATGCAGTCATATGTTGATATTTCCAGTTTATGACCGGGCAACTGTCGGTCACAAATGATTTATGATTGTGAGAACGCTGGCTTCTAGCCTAAGCACCACAGACAAGTGATGCAGTGTCTCCAGAAAACCAAAGCAATGCTTTTTGCTCCCAAGTCAGCATCCTCTTGCCTCTCCATTGACACTCTTGCTCTGTTGAGTTTGTTGATACATACAAATATCTGGGCTTTTAGTTGGACAGAAATCTAAACTTTAAACACCACATTGAAGTTCTAACTAAGAAATTGAAATTCACTCTTGGCTTCCTTTACAGACTTAAACGTTGTTTTTCAACATCTTCCCGTAAAAGGTTGGTCTCTGGCTTATTCCTGTCCCAGCGTGACTACGGTGATACAATCTATAGATTTGCCTGTCCCACTGTTTTGGCCAAACATGACCCACTCTACCATGCTGCACTGCGATACATATCAAATGCACCCTATAGGACTCATCATTGCACACTGTATAGCCTAACTGGATGGTCCTCACTTAGTATGGGTAGGATGCAGCACTGGTTTTTATTAATGTATGAAGCCATTTTAGGTAAGCTTCCACTGTATATATGTGCCAGATTTGCTCCAGTTTGTGACTCTTACAACCTCAGACCCAGTGCCTGGATACGGTTCCAGGTTCCTGTCGTGCGGACTGAGGCTGGAAAAAGGAGTCTTTTTTATTATGGTCCTTGGTCTTGGAATGACCTTCAATCAAGCCTCAAACTGATGGCTCTTGTCCCTATAGCCTGTTTTAAATTGAAGTTGTATGAGGTCCTTACCACCAGCTGCTCTTGCAGTAATAAGTAGTGCACCTTTCTTACTGTCCCAAATGTGCACAATGTAGTGACTGCTTTTCGTCTTTTGTTTACTGAGTTGTGTTCTCTGTATTTTAAATGTCTGTGTTATGTGTAAGAACGTGTAACGTTGCTGCCTTCTTGGCCAGGTCAGAATTGTAAATGATATTTTGTCTCAATGTTTTCATCTGGTTAAATTATTATTTATTTTTTTACAAAACCATGGAAAGAGATGCACAATGCAAGTTAGAGACTAAGTGAACAAAGAGAGAGGAGAAAATAGACGCAACAAGTCCACAAAGAACTGCATAATGATGAGAAAGAGGCATGACGCCACAAAGAAGTGCTCAATTACTTCATAAAGAGGCAAAACTACTACAAAGAGACCCAGACAGACTCTAGATTGTTATACAGGGCGACTACAAAGCGATAAAGCCTCACAAGAGAACTTTGCTCCGATAAAGAAGGGACTTTTATGTCACTGTATCTCAGATTCAGTGCATGATGTGAAAGATTAAAATGTCTCTACATACTCCTATGTCGACTCAAGAGGGCAGCATTGTTGTTGTTTCATGCAGATGTAACACAGACAACTCTCAGAGAAGATTTGTTGGCCTTAATGCACAATTATCAAGTTTTTAAATAAGGTTATTGCTGGTTTTACTGCTGGTACTGGTAGTCTACATCCAGGGTGAGATACTGATTTGAGTCTACAGAGAGTGCATTAACCAGCCTTTACAGAAATAGGGTTATTTTAGTTTAATGTTCAAACTGTTCTTCATATAAAATAGTTTGCATTCAGTAGCTATGTTTTATTTCTCTGTCTCTGAGCTGTAGTTGATTTGAAATGAAAGTCACTCCCACCACCAAGAGCTGAAGATGCATGAAGTGACTGCTGTATGGGAGCTAATGTCGGCCTCATAGTCAAACAAGAACCTCCCTCGTATGAAACAGCGTACAGAGTGCTGAGCTGTGACCTGACCTGAGGTTCTGATACGCACCACCGGCACAGACGCACAGAAACTACATGAGCCCCAGTCAGAGGGGAAGTGAAACTCGAATGTTCCCCTTTCCTAATACAGATGTTCAATTATATACATAGTCACTCAGAAAAAAAGGCCATCTCTGATGAGAGATTAATGTAAAACAGGATCTACAGTGTGACACTATGTGACTAGTACTGTGTTGCACATTTATTAACCAGGCAATACATTAAATGCATAGATCAGGGGTGTCTTGTACTTTCTTTATTTGCCGATTCAAAAGTATAATGGAATATGGCCCACACCTGAAACTTCAGCTTGTCTTATAATATACTTCTTAAATATATATGTTGACTTATATTACATAGTAGTATTCATGTGGTAATAAACCCACTTTTCAAATACATTTAAGTTGAAAACATTTTCTAACAAATCTTAGTTGATAAAAAAAAGCACAATAACTTATTTGCATAACAAGCTTGAAATATATACTTAATATTTCCCCTTATCTTAAGCAATCTGAGGCTCCTGTTTTAAGGGATGAGCTGCCAACACTTGTTATAACAAAATTAATGAAACCCTATGGAGAGCTGTGAGCTTTTTTACTTAAATCATATTCAGGTAACAAGCATGATTTACCTACATTTGATTGATTTAACTTATAACTTAATTTATGAGGCAAAATACCTCACCTCTAGTGAGTGGCCCAGCCCTTTGTATGTATTTCTCTATGTGGCCCCTCATTGAGGTAAAATCATCCAGTCTTGACGGACCTGTTAGATATTAGATGTCTCTCTGTTGCATGGCATGCTGTGTCTCTATTCAGTGGATTTGATAACAAGAAGGGACATCCTAGAGAATCAAACACTCAGTGGATATTGAGTTCAATGTAGATCGATTTGCCAGCGGGGGAACTGTTAAACTGTTCATGAGATACTTCAGAAAGAAGTGGAAACAAGGAAAGATGTTTGCAAATAAAAGAAAGTACCTAGAAGAGCATTACCCTCACATTTCAGAGTGACTCTGAATGACCAAATGATGTTCAAGAGATGTTAAACCGTAACTAAAACTCACCTCAACTGCATTTTGGTTCCTCAAGGACAGGTGTCTGTGTGACGTGTGACATGTCATTTGCATGATTGTAATGCTTCACTGCTCCTCACAGTTTTAAGGTCTTGAGTCACGTAGAGTCTGAACCGTGTTCCTGCACTCATCCTGAGAACTGGAGATCATGTTGTCAGTAACTCTGCTTGTCATGTTGGGCTTTCTGTGTCAGGGTGAGAGACTTTGAAAATGTATCATCTGAAATGATAGGAGTAATGTATGTGTGGTTCAATGTGTGTCTTTTCTTTTCATGTTTGCATCCAATGTGCTTTGTCTTTAACTCTTTCTATTATCATTTAAACTGCTGCTCCATGTTGTTGGTTATCTAACATTTCACTTCTCATTTCAGAGTCTTCTGCCAACAAGTTCCTGACTCAGACTGACTCATCCAAGTCTGTTAGTGCTGGAGGGACTGTGACCATCAGCGCTACAGGGAGCTCAGATATTGGTGCTGATCTCAGTTGGTATCTTCAGAAACCTGGACAGGCTCCTAAACTTCTTATATACTCATCATCATCTCTGTTCTCTGGAACTGAGCCTAGATTCAGTGGTACTAGATCTGGTGCTCAGTACACTTTAACCATCAGTAACGTTAAGGATGTTGATGCAGGAGATTACTATTGTCTGGGTGCTCACACCGGTTTCACGTTCACACAGTGATTTAGAGCCGTACAAAAACCTCCTTCAGTCTCAAGTAAAGCGTCCTGCTGCAGCTGCAGGTGAAGAGACTGAGAGGAGGAGAACTGGTCCAGTGAACACAAGAGTCATCAAGCAGAACCACCATGAATCCAAATAAAGCTGACTCTCTTCAGTTCTTGATGACTAAACTGGGATGGTTAGATTATTGTTCGCCACTGACATCAAATTAAATGTAAACATATCTCTACTAACACCTGCATAACATAAAGTAATCTCTGACACAGACCACTGCACGCTGAGTAGAGAGGAACTTCACCAAACACTAACTATTCATACTAATATGTTGAATTAAACAATGCTTAGAAATAAAGGACTCTACTCTTAGCCTGGAGAAAAATCTATGCCTGATATTATATTTGAGCCGTCCTCTCAGCCTCACTAAAAATTAAGTTCACGTTAGCATCAAATACTTAATCACGATAAAACGGTTTAATATAATTTTCTTCACTACTAAGTCACTTTCATTGAAAATGTTATAGATATGAAACTTAAATAATGTTCTAAACTAATCCAAAGCTTTATCTTGTTCTGCTGATAGAAGTGCAGAATGTTATAAAACCTTTTAATGTATTACTACTTTAAATAAAACACCAAACACTTCATCATGTTATTTATCAGAGAAAGCTTTATTAGGAACATCCTGAATCATCAACATGACAGTTACTAAGCACACTCTCATCTCTGCTGAGCTTCACACATCACTCTCTAAGTTGCTGCTGTCCAACACTTTACAGCAGTGTTGTTCTCGGCCACACAAAGCTTCACTTTCCTCTACAAACATTAAAGCTCCTGATGATCAGACGCTGTGAGACAGAGTCCATACAGGACACATTCAAACATTCAGAGGCTTTACTGTCATATGCACAGTAGCTGCAGTGAATCAGAACCAGAGTCAGAATACCTTTAGTAGTCCCTCAGAGGGGACATTCACGCTGTTACAGCAGAAAAGAGCCAGAGACAGCTTCATGTTACGTAGAAGCATGCATACAAAAGTATTCAAGTAAAAAAAAGTTATAATATAATAAAAAATGAAATAAAAAGTTACACAATTTACAAAATATACCTCCTGTAACAGTTCTGAGGATTTAGCAGCCAGGTATATATTGCACAGGTATTAACGGCATATATACATATTGCACATATTGCACATAGGCGATGTAGATAAGGCAATGAAAAGCCCAAGGCTCCTCCAACAATGCAACGTACAAATATGTAGGACGTAAAACAATAAAACATATTTTAAAAACATTCAAATAGTGCCAGAACAAACAGAATGAGGAAGGAAATGAGGGTTTAATAAATAGAATAAAATGTTAAACTTGACGTTTGGAGTCAGAGTGTTATTCTGTAGCTCTCATCAGAACAAGAATTATACATTGAAGGTACAGGACAGAGAAAGTGGGGGTCAGCTGTGACTATGAGCTGTGATCACAAGAGGAGCTGAGGCATGGGAGAACACGAGGGTTTCATTCATAAAATCAAACGGTGATACTTTATATCATTCTGGCATTTAAAATAATGAATCTTCTTCTTTGGCACTCATCAAAACTCCTGAAGAGTTACATGAAAGTAAGCAACGTAATGAAGGTGTTCATGTAATGATCATTATATGAAAAGCTTTATCTCTGCTTTACAATGTTTCAGAATGAATAACTAATCTCTGAAATCATTTACTGTTCAGAAAAACTAAAAGTAACATCTCATACAGTTGAAGACTTTGTCATCTGTTTGTTTCACTTCCTTTGAACTCTTTTAAACTAACGGACTGTGAACGCACCCTGCAGCGACTCTGAATGTACAAAAACACACTTTAATGTGTTTTAACGGATCCTCAGCACATTTTATATGAAACACTTGTTGAATGTTAAAATATATAACAATTAAAAAGTAAATCACAATTAGATGTTATGACAGAGCAGCTGTTCTTTGGTCAATTGTGAGCTAAAAATGTTTTTATATCTTATTAGAAAAGAAAAGTAAAACGTACATATAATTCACCGTAACATCTTCTTTAATATTACAATAAAACTAACTTCGCTTAATGTTTTTAAATTCTTCAGACAAGCTTTATAGATTTAAAAAATATCAACATAATTTAAATTATCCAAAATAATGTCTTGATTTATCAAATTCTGATGTAAAAGTAAATGTAATGTTTTCTGTGTTAGAAAATACAAATCTCTGGTACTTACAGTGAACGATGAGTTTGGTTCCTCCACCAAAAGTGTACCACAGTGATACAAACTCATTGAGTGGCCGTACAAAAACCTCCTGCACTGTCAGCAAGCATGTAGCACTGAGAAAGCTCCCTGATCTCACTGATAACAGAGACACATATACAGTTTTTAAATCAACAAAGCTTTTCTAAAGATATGGATTACATCTCTGGAAGAATTATGTCATTTCTCATCACTTTTCTACACCTGGCAGAGAAACCATTACAGTCTTCTACACAACTAACTTTGTCAGTTTTATATTAGTTTCTACACGGTTAAATGAACACGAGGCTTTTCAATAATAGTTATTAACAAAGGTATTTGAAACAGAACTGAAACATGTTATTGATCTACAGTGAATCTCTGTATGTATGTTAATGTCAGACAAACAGACATATCATACCAACCACAGTGGACACAAACTCAAATCCTCATCTCCACTCCTGATATAAATATGTTCTTCCATTCAGATGATAGACGGTGAAAATCCAGACAGTGTTCCTCCTGGTTTCGTGTCCCACGTTGCCTTCAGTGTGCTGAGAGCAGAGACATCATTTCCATAGAGAGGAGGCTTTGCATGGTCAGCTGATCCTCCAGTGAACTGAGAAGGTTTATAGTCCTGTGAGTTCAACACTGCAGGACTCACATGTGTCAGTCAGCAGAAAGCACCATGACTCTCATCACCATCCTCATCTGGACGCTGGCCTGCTGCTGTTTCACAGGTTCATTCACTCAGCAACATTTCAAACATCATGTGCTGCCTTTCCTCTCCTTTCTTTCTGCTGAGAAATCAATGATCTGTTTCTGTGTGCAGGATGCAGCGGTCAGACTGTGACTGTGACTCAGCCTGCAGTCGAGACGTCTGCTCCAGGATCCACCGTCACTCTCACCTGTAAAAGAGTTCCCAATGATGGCAATTGGCCATTGACGTCCTGGTATCAACAGAAATCTGGACAGCCTCCAAAGCTCCTAATAAAACATGTGAGCACACTTGAATCAGGAACAGAACCTCGGTTTAGTGGCAGTGGAAGCGGCTCTGACTTCTCTATGACCATCACTGGACTGAAGGCTGAAGATGCAGCAGTTTATTACTGTCAGAGTTACCACGCTATAAACAGTGCAGGCGTGTTCACACAGTGATTTAGAGCCGTACAAAAACCTCCTTCAGTCTGAAGCAAAGCGTCCTGCTGCAGCTGCAGAGGTGAAGAGACTGAGAGGAGGAGAACTGGTCCAGTGAACACAAGAGTCATCAAGCAGAACCACCATGAACCCAAATAAAGCTGAAACACACTCACAGACACTCTTCAACACCCTGTTTAAACTATATTATTGTCATTAAATTCAGTCTCTTTATGAGTGAGCTGGGAAAGTTAGATTGATGTTGAACTATAGCCACTGATATCAACATATATTTAACAGTAACTTTATGAATGTCTGTACAAAACAATTAATGATATTACCGCAGTCCAAACATACGCAACACAATTTAAATCATTTGAAGTACTGTAAACACAAAATGTTGTTGTTTACACTCCACTGTGTATTTTAATAGATTTAGTATTTAAAAGACTCAATCTATTAAAATGTGTTGACTTAGTAAAGCTTAAAACAGTACTGATTATGCACAACATTTTCCATAACAAAATGCCTCCTAACATTCAAAAGCAGTTCCAAACCACAGTCAGGAAATACCCAGCTAGGCATCCTGACTGGTTGTGTAGCAAGCCCTGTAGAACAACCATCACATCACAGCTGATCCATAAACGGAGTTAGAACGTGCAATGGACTTCACCCAGACCTTTCAAGTATCACTCGTCATCAACAATTCAAAACTAAATACAAAAAGATTCTATTTGCAGATTTCTCCAGTTTACAAATATTGGATATTCTCGGAATCATTTTTCTTCTTTTTATTATTATTATTTCTTTAGAACTAATACCTTCAGTTTGTTTATTTATTTAATATGGTCTACATTACTTTACATCTATTTTGTCCTTATTTATTTTCATCGTTATGGGGTTGAATTATTATTTCAGCCCTGGAAATGTCCTTGCAATATTTGTATTGGTGTATATGAGTGCATGTGTATTTGTGTACTTATACACTTGAACATCTGTATATTTTGTGTAAGTGTGAACATACAGTATGAATGTAAAAAAAGTCACTTAAAAATAAGTGTTCATAATGTTTATATGCATATATTATTATTATCATTATTTATTTGCCAAGTACATGTGTACATATGTATATATTTATATATAGTATTTTCATTTTCAAAAATGGAAGTTGAAACTGCTATTGACATGTGCAGAAAATGACCCTATAGTTTTTCTTATATATATGCATTTATTATTTTCTTACCCTAACTTTTATATTTTATTTTCTCCAGTTTTCTTTAGTTTTCTTTATTTCTTTGTACTCCTTCATTTCTATACGTTTTTGACGCAATAATGCCAATGTTATATTAGGATGATTCACAGGAGGGCTACTTCCCATAAGCTTCAGCCCTCCCGCTTCTACTAATGTTGTTCATCTTTGTGTGTAAGAATTATAATTCTTTTTTGTAATGAATTTAGTAGAATAAAAGAATAAAAATAAATTAAATAAATTGTCCCACAATCATAAAGGATATTAATATAATACGAGGTTTCATACTGAAGGTATTAATACATCTTTCTCACAATGAACATATGAATTAAAGAAGTACAAAGACACAGTCTCATTTTAATCAACATTTTTATTTAATGATGGTTTAAAGCTCACGCCACATTTGAGATGAATGATGAGTTTCTGTTGGAGTGAAACAAATGAAATCCAGTTGAATTGTGAGCTGATGAACAAACAGGAGAATATGCAGGAAGTGAGGATTAGAGAGCAACACTAACAACTGAGCAGAGACAGCAGCAACATGTGAGCAGAGGAGATGTGTGTCTTCATGAAGATCTCTAGCAAAGCAGCGGCTTCCTCTCCAGACAGGAAGTGATGCTCTACTCCGAGCAGCGGGCAGGGTCCAGGCTTTGAGTGACAGGGCTCTGTCCACTCAGACTGGCCTCACAGCTCACTGAGCCCGCCCCCCTCCAGCTCTCTGCAGAGAGGCTCAGGGTGCTGCTCCAGCTGTAGCGGCCGTCGCTCCCCAGGACCTCCGGGCTGTGGGACCCCCCTGAGGAGCTGCTGCTGCCCCCCAGCTTCCAGCCCAGCTTCCAGGCGGAGGGGAAGCCCCCGCTGGCCAGACACACCACGGTGGCACTGCCCTGCTGCAGCTCCTCTCTGGAGGGGGGGAGGACGCTCAGGGTGGGCTGCTGCACACCCACTGGAGCAGGGAGGGAGGGGGGAGGAAAAGGGAGACATTAGAGTGAACACTTGATTATAAGGTCCTTTTTTGATGTTGTCATTTTGCTGCTGTCAAATCCTTGTGTCAGTACTTTACGATACCAGTCACCTCTGTGGAAACATTGGTATCACTGCCTTTTTTTATTTACATTTGAGTGTTGTACGTCTTTTAAAAGAATAACATTCATCTGTTTGCAACTTACACATTATTTATCTAATATATCATATTCCAATTACTTGTATCTAGACTCTCCTTGCTCTATTGTATCTGTGCTATTGTGCTGCTCTGTTGGAGGAGCCTGTGACCTAAGATGCTCATTGAAGTATCTGCACTGTAGCTATGTACACATGACAAGAAAAGCCTTGAAGCCTTGAATCCTTATATTTCATCAAATATAACAGAATAAGTTGTGCTGCTGTTACTCTCATAAATCACTCAGGATCAGACCCACATGATTCAAGTGTGAATGACTGACTTTGTGTAAAGTGTGCAAGCTAAAGATTCATTGATAATAATGATTGAATATCTTCACATGTGTGATGATGTTCTTTAAACTGACAGAGCTGAACGTCTCAAGTGAAAACAGTTCAAACATTTATCATCTGTCTCTTTCACTTCCTTTTCACTGCATGTCAAATCAATGAACCGTGAACACGACGACAAGCTGCATTAACTGATACAATCACAAGTTTAAATGAATCCGTATTTAACTTGAATTCAACTAAATAGTTGATATTTTAAAAGACAATAGATAAATAATGTAAATAAATACAATATTGTGATCTACAAATGTAAAACTGAATGTGGCGGAGACGTCACGCGTTAACACATTTTAATAAATAAAAACATTTAGTATAAAGTTGTTATGATAATAAAATATAATATAGAAAATAAACAAGTTATTTGCTTCAAAAAAATTATTTGTACGAAAAGAACAATTAATATAGAAGTCTGCAAAGGTTCCTTTCAGATTACAAGAGGAGCTTAATACAAAAATATAAAAATGGAATCTAAGTTTTTTTTAACTTGAGTCTCATTTAATAATTAATGAAAGTTATATATTTGCTAATAGTTGTATAAAATACAAATCTCTGGTACTTACAGTCAACGATGAGTTTGGTTCCTCCACCAAAAGTGTACCACAGTGATACAAACTCATTGAGTGGCCGTACAAAAACCTCCTGCACTGTCAACAAGCATGTATCACTGAGAAAGCTCCCTGATCTCACTGATAACAGAGACACATATACAGTTTTTAAATCAACAAAGCTTTTCTAAAGATATGGATTACATCTCTGGAAGAATTAAGATGATTTATGTCATTTCTCATCACTTTTCTACACCTGGCAGAGAAACCATTACAGTCTTCTACACAACTAACTTTGTCAGTTTTATATTAGTTTCTACACGGTTAAATGAACACGAGGCTTTTCAATAATAGTTATTAACAAATGTATTTGAAACAGAACTGAAACATGTTATTGATCTACAGTGAATCTCTGTATGTATGTTAATGTCAGACAAACAGACATATCATACCAACCACAGTGGACACAAACTCAAATCCTCATCTCCACTCCTGATATAAATATGTTCTTCCATTCAGATGATAGACGGTGTAAATCCAGACAGTGTTCCTCCTGGTTTCGTGTCCCACGTTGCCTTCAGTGTGCTGAGAGCAGAGACATCATTTCCATAGAGAGGAGGCTTTGCATGGTCAGCTGATCCTCCAGTGAACTGAGAAGGTTTATAGTCCTGTGAGTTCAACACTGCAGGACTCACATGTGTCAGTCAGCAGAAAGCACCATGACTCTCATCACCATCCTCATCTGGACGCTGGCCTGCTGCTGTTTCACAGGTTCATTCACTCAGCAACATTTCAAACATCATGTGCTGCCTTTCCTCTCCTTTCTTTCTGCTGAGAAATCAATGATCTGTTTCTGTGTGCAGGATGCAGCGGTCAGACTGTGACTGTGACTCAGCCTGCAGTCGAGACGTCTGCTCCAGGATCCACCGTCACTCTCACCTGTAAAACCAGTAGCAATGTTTACAGATGGGGTAGTAATGATAATTTGTCCTGGTATCAACAGAAATCTGGACAGCCTCCAAAGCTCCTGATAAGATATGTGAGCACACTTGAATCAGGAACAGAACCTCGGTTTAGTGGCAGTGGAAGCGGCTCTGACTTCTCTATGACCATCACTGGACTGAAGGCTGAAGATGCAGCAGTTTATTACTGTCAGAGTCACCACTACATAAACAGTGTTAATCTGTTCACACAGTGATTTGTCGTCGTACAAAAACCTCCCTCAGTCAGACTGCAGAGACTCTGAGCTGTTACAGCAGGAACCACCTGCAGCTGCTGAAGAGGAAGAGACTGACACAGCCCACTGAACTCAGAGCTGACAGGAACCCACCCAGCACTATTCACTTCTTATTCTTAAATACACATATGTTAATGGATTAATGAAATTAAACCCAGTCCAAAACACATTATATGTAAAAGCAGCATTACACAAACCTTATTGTGATCTCTGCTTCCCCGAATTAAAACAACAAACGCTCTTTAGCTTTTCCCCACATGTCTCCACTTGGTGTGTTTCACAGCAGGAGCATCTCTGGCCTCTCTGGAGTTATTATTTCATCATTATTATAAATATCCTGATTCAAAATGACAAAGATCAATCTAATGAAGTCTTTAAAATGTTAAACGGTGGCTGATTAAAACCCTCTTATTCACATCAATCAATGAACTTATCCATTAGTTAACCTCAAATTCACATCTTAGTTAAAAACTTCAGGTTTTCTAAAAACCAGTTTCATTGAAGTTTCCTGAAATGTTTTTTGTTCCATTATTGAAACCAAAAACAGCAGGAACATCCAAGAGACGTTGAGTTTGAACATGATTTGACCCCTGACCCCCCCTGAGACCACCAGTGCAAAGCAGAGGCTTTAGGACGAGCAGACGTACATCACAATCACAATCAAGTTTATTACCAGATACTTTGACACATACAAGGAATTAGCTTTGATGTCTGGTGGTACGAACATAAACAATCTAAGAAAATAAGTTGCCATAGTAGGTAAAAAATATAAAGATAATAAAAATAAGTATTTACACCAAATTTAAATAAAAATATACAAAGGACCTTAAAAGCTAAAACACTAAAACACTTAGAACAATGAATATATGGCAATATATGGCAAACTACAGTACATTATATTTAAAGTGGAGGGCTGTGCAGATATGTGTGCAAACATGTGTAAAATGCAGTCAGAGTTGAGCATGAACATGGCTCACAGAATTAAGAAAGAAGAAAGAACAAGATGTTGTTCACATGATGTGCAATAATGTAATTCTGTGACTGGCGAAGCCACACACAGTCTACTATTCAACATACTTATTAGTACAAATGCTGTTCAACTATTGTTCTTCAAATCTTTATTCTTCCGCATCTTATTATTGTGGTTTCTTCCTGTATGTTCCTGCCTGTGTACATGACATAAACTGCTCACAACCAATTGCCCCTTGCAGGATTAATAAAGTTGTTGATTGATTGATTATTTCAACCAGATTTCACCGTCTAACTACTTCAGCATACTTTCAGCTAGAGACCATTCAAATATTAAAATGTTCAGCTCCTTCAGGACACTTTTCTTGTTTTTGACATTTATACTTTTTAAAATATACCGCTTTTTAAACTTTTATTTTTACAATGTAACCCAATGGGAGTATCCTTCAAATCCTCTTTTACCTACACCGTGTTTAAAATGCTGCTCCTTCAGCAGACTTTCAGCTACAGACTTCATTCCTACTTTGAAACGGTCACAAAACATTCAGCTATTACATTTGTATTCAGCTTTTTGATATCTTTTAGAGTTTCTAACTCATCAACGTTTAAGTTTTATATAATGGTTGTCTATGGGATGGACTCTTCAGGGCTAGAGTGCGTGACATCCTCACTTATGGCGCGTTTCCACTGCAGCGGGTAGCCCCGTTTAAGCGTCCTTAACCGTCCTCAAGCGGCCAGGCCGGTTTTTGGTGGCGTTTCCATATAGCCTAGTGTAAGAGAATATTTTCATCTGATCTGTTTATAGAGTTTCTTATTGTTTTATAGAATCTGTGATACTGCAAACATCTGCTTGTAGTCAGTCAGAGACTCCTCTGTGATGTTGAGGTCACAGGTCAAACGCTTCTCCTATGTCCGTGGGGGGTTGACCTGGCAGCATCTCTTTGAGACAAGCAGACCATTGTCTCGCATCGGCTATTGATTATACGCGGGCTTTCTGGGAGCCCGCCTCTCCTCGTGTTGGTTAGATGTTTTGTGTCTTTTGGGTTCAGAGATTACCTTGGTGGAGCACAAGGACAGTGTGAAACTAGGATGATCTCCCGGCCGTATGTAATTGTCTGTCTCTCAATAAATATCAGTGTATTGACAGGCGAATCCAGTTTCCCTCATTTGATGATGCGCTCAACATTGCTGCAAATAAGTTTTTACTTCACACCTAGTACCGGCCAGCGGGTACTTTTTCCCTCTTTTTCCGGCCTCTTAAAATCGTGGTTCCCTCAGACCAGGGCCAGGGCTGAACTAGTGACGTCAACACTCTCGACTGCTGATTGGTCAGAGAGAATCGTCACAAGATTGCGCGCGAGTTCATCCCTAGCGTCGCATATATATCTAGAAGCAAGCTTGCAGCATTTTTATAAACAGCATTTTGTAAACGGATGAGCTACAAAAATGGCTACGTCTAATAAGAAAAGCACACCGTGGTCGACCGAGGAGGTGACGACGTTCCTACATCTCATTGGGGATGATCAAATCCAGCGGGAGCTCGACGGAACAACTCGAAATGTGAACAAAAACAAAGCCGATCGCCCCGCCTACACTGCGTTGCTACCCCAGGTCCTAAACTGTAATGGAAATGCGCCACGGCCTGGGCCGGCCAGCGAGGCAGCCCGAGGCCAGAGCGAGGACGCTTAGGGACGCTTAAACGGGGCTACCCCGCTGCAGTGGAAACGCGCCATTAGAGTGCTGAGGGTGGTGCAGCTGCCTGGTTTGGCACCCCCACTATAACTATGTCCAAGATAGTCGTACTGTCACCAAAATCACACTGGTGCTTGTTTTTTCCATCTTATCGGAGAAGGATAATATGGAAACCTCATATTTTAATTGGCAGACTTCTAGAACAATTTGAAATAAGCAATAATCTTATGGACTTGATTCTTGATTTTTTAACCAATAGGACACAAAGAGTGTGCGTGAATGGGACCTTATCTGATCAAGTCAGCTCCTCCACTGGCTACCCCACAAGGATGTATCCTTTCGCCACTATTATTTATAATTAACACTAATATGTGTCAAAGTAGGTGGGAAAATAGGACTATTTTAAAGTATACAGATGACTCTGTAATTGTTAGTGGGCTCCAGGACAATGAGACCAGCCACGGCCCTGTCTTTGACGACTTTGTCAGGTGGTGTGAGGAGTCCTATCTACAACTGAACATAAGCAAAACCAAGGATATGATCATTGATTTTAGAAGACATCCCCACATACATGAAGTCTTAACAATCGCGAATCAGAAAGTAGAATTAGTGCAATCATACAAATATCTGGGGACAATTATTGACTCAAAATTTAGCTCTGATCCAAAATGTGAAGCTGTGTGAAAAGGGGGCACCAGCGTTTGTACTGTCTTAGGAAACTGTCCTATTTAACATTGACAAAACCATGATGATTGTTGGGGAAATATTTTCCAAGGTCCATGACTTTGACCCAGTTTATCAGTTCAAACTGTCCTGACTGAGCACACGCACCTGTAACCTTGGCTGCTGTGCTCTCAGTGTTCTGTCTCCCTGTTCCTGCCTGTTGGAGTCAGCTGATAGAGGTGTTATGATTCTATCTTGTTATGCACAATGTTGATTATTCTCTCTGAACTAGCTAAACACATGGGTCTGGCCGCAGGCACGGCTGCAGTGCACGCAGGGAGTGGAAGCAGAGCGCTGAACACTCACGGCTCTTATTAAAACGGCGCTTTCTCACCGGAGTACTTGTCCCCGTCATTCTTAAAGTACCGACACTAATGAAACGGAGGAATCGTACCGTTTTTAACGGCAGGGTATCGCGGTACCTTTCAAGTATCGGTACACCGTGCAACACTAGTCTGGGGTAGAGTTCTTCAGAATTGACGTGGCAACTCTCCCGTGCAGTCAGACCATGGCTGCTGTGACTTGTGATGTGAATCCTCCGGCCGAACCTCCTAAATAAACCATCAGTGTTTGACATCAAAGCTCCTGCTCTTCCCGTGTCTCTTTCCTGAGTCGGTGACTCCCACTGCATTGCTACACAGAAGTTTCCCTTACAATGATCATATTTTATCGTGCTTTTATCGAGTCGATTCTGTCTTTTTCATTCATGTCATGGTTTGGTAACCTGACTTTAAAGAGCAGAAACTCTCTGAGTCAGATCATCAAGTGGTCCAGCAGACTGATTGGTGAGCCACAGCTAAACCTGGAGACCCTGTACCTCAGGCAGTTACAGCGGTTATCCAGCTCCATATTAGACGATGACTCCCACCCTCTGCACTCAGAATTTAAGCTTCTTCCTTTGGGCCGGAGGTTACTTGTCCCAAAGAGTAGACCGAAGTGGTATAAAAACAGTTTTATCCCAGCAGCTATTGCACAAATTAACACATCATAGGAGTGTCACACAGATGCCAATTTATGTATTTAATTTTGAATTTTGAATGTCCATGTTTGTACTAGAGTTTGTACTTGTGTTTTTCTTATTAAATGTTTTTGAAATATTTTGAGATTTGACGGAACAGGGTGTATTTGTTATTTATCCTTTTATTATAGATATGTCTGTTGTTTGTGTTTGTTTTTAGAGTGTGTCAGGATGGATCCCTTGTCCCTTTTTCTGCAAACAAAATCTACCTACGGGTACAAATAAAGAACCTGAACCTGAAGGTTTTTCATCTTATGTCTAATGTTATGTTGGTGTCTCGTTTCGGTCATAACGCCATTTGCTGGTTTCAGAATTATCTAACCGACCGTACTCAATGCGTCAGGTTGGGTAGTACTGTCTCTGAGCCTGTCACCTTGGAGAAGGGAGTTCCACAGGGCTCTAATTTGGGGCCCTTGCTCTTTTTATTATACGTAAACAATATTTGTAATCAGATGCAATTTTCTATATCATATTTATGCTGATGACACTATTGTATACTCATGTGCTCCTTCTCTGGATATGGCCGTTTCCAATTTAAAATCTTATTGTATTGTTAGGACGGGTGGCGCAGTGGTCTGTGCATCTGATCATCAGATCAAGGGGGAGTGCTGGGGAACTCCAGTTCGAAACCCGCTCCTGCCGCCACTGCGTCAGGCCGTCGTGTCCTTGGGCAAGACACTTCACCCGGATTTGCTCCTGTGGGTATTGTCCACAGTACATGTATAATACCAATGTGTACTTGTAAAAGCGTGAAGATGGACGGTGTGGCGCAGTGCGCTGTGCAATGATCATCAGATCAAGGGGTGAAACCCGCTGCTTCTGTAAAGCCGGTGTGTCCTTGGGCAAGACACTTCACCTGAACTTGCTCCTGTGGGTATTGTCCACAGTATCTGACCATTGCATGTGTAATGTGTGTATATGTAAAGCGCTAAAGTCATTGATAAAGCACTATAATAAATGTAAGGAATTATTATCACGCTGCAGCATGCGCTTCTTGATTCTAAACTGCTATTGAACGGTAAGAAAACCAAATCAATGCTTTTTGCTCCCAAGTCAGCGTCCTCTTGCCTCTCCATTGACACCCTTGCTGTTGTCTCTGTTGAGTTTGTTGATACATACAAATATCTGGGCTTTTAGTTGGACAGAAATCTAAAATTTAAACACCACATTGAAGTTCTAACTAAGAAATTGAAATTCACTCTTAGCTTGCTTTACAGACTTAAACGTTGTTTTTCAACATCTTCCCGTAAAAGGTTGGTCTCTGGCTTATTCCTGTCCCAGCGTGACTACAGTGATACAATCTATAGATTTGCCTGTCCCACTGTTTTGGCCAAACATGACCCACTCTACCATGCTGCACTGCGATACATATCAAATGCACCCTATAGGACTCATCATTGCACGCTATAGCCTAACTGGATGGTCCTCACTTAGTATGGGTAGGATGCAGCATTGGTTTTTATTATTGTATAAAGCCATTTTAGGTAAGCTTCCACTGTATATATATGCCAGATTTGCTCCAGTTTGTGAGTCTTACAACCTCAGAACCAGTGCCTGGATACGGTTCCAGGTTCCTGTCGTGCGGACTGAGGCTGGAAAAAGGAGTCTTTTTCATTATGGTCCTTGGTCTTGGAATGACCTTCAATCAAGCCTCAAACTGATGGCTCTTGTCCCTATAGCCTGTTTTAAATTGAAGTTGCCTGAGGTCCTTACCACCAGCTGCTCTTGCAGTAATAAGTAGTGTACCTTTCTTACTGTCCCAAATGTGCACAATGTAGTGACTGGTTTTCGTCTTTTGTTGTGTTCTCTGTATTTTATATGTCTGTGTTATGTGTAAGAACGTGTAACGTTGCTGCCTTCTTGGCCAGGTCAGCATTGTAAATGAGATTTGTCTCAATGTTTTCATCTGGTTAAATAAAGGTTAAATAAATCAAAACAATTTGTTATAAAGCCATGGAAAGAGATGCACAATGCAACTTAGAGACTAAGTGAACAAAGAGAGAGGAGAAAAGAGACGCAACAAGTCCACAAAGAAATGCAAAATGATGAGAAAGAGGCATGACGCCACAAAGAAGTGCTAAATTACTTCATAAAGAGGCAAAACAACTACAAAGAGACCCAGACAGACTCTAGATTGTTATACAGGGCGACTGCAAAGCGATAAAGACTCACAAGAGAACTTTGCTCCGATGAAGAAGGGACTTTTATGTCACTGTATCTCAGATTCTGTGCATGATGTGAAAGATTCAAATGTCTTTACATACTCCTATGTCGACACAAGAGGGCAGCATTGTTGTTTTTTCATGCAGATGTAACACAGACAACTCTCAGAGAAGATTTGTTGGCCTTGATGCACAATTATCCAGTTTTTAAATAAGGTTATTGCTTGTTTTACTGCTGGTACTGGTAGTCTACATCCAGGGTGAGATACTGATTTGAGTCTACAGAGAGTGCATTAACCAGCCTTTACATAAATAGGGTTAGTTTAGTTTAATGTTCAAACTGTTCTTCATATCAAATAGTTTGCATTCAGTAGCTATGTTTTATTTCTCTGTCTCTGAGCTGTAGTGGATTTGAAATGAAAGTCACTCCCACCACCAAGAGCTGAAGATGCATGAAGTGACTGCTGTATGGGAGCTAATGTCGGCCTCATAGAGTCATACAAGAACCTCCCTCGTATGAAACAGCATACAGAGTGCTGAGCTGTGACCTGACCTGAGGTTCTGATACGCACCACCGGCACAGACGCACAGAAACTACATGAGCCCCAGTCAGAGGGGAAGTGAAACTCAAATGTTCCCCTTTCCTAATACAGATGTTCAATTATATACATAGTCACTAAGAAAAAAAGGCCATCTCTGATGAGAGATTAATGTAAAACAGGGTCTACAGTGTGACACTATGTGACTAGTACTGTGTTGCACATTTATTAACCAGGCAATACATTAAATGCATAGATCAGGGGTGTCTTGTACATTTGAATTGGCCCTCATCGAATTCTAAAAGTATAATGGAATATGGCCCACACCTGAAACTTCAGCTTGTCTTATATTATACTTCTTAAATATATATGTTGACTTATATTACATAGTAGTATTCATGTGGTAATAAACCCACTTTTCAAATACATTTAAGTTGAAAACATTTTCTAACAAATCTTACTTGATGAAAAAAAGCCCAATAAGTTATTTGCATAACAAGCTTGAAATATATACTTCATATTTCCCCTTATCTTAAGCAATCTGAGGCTCCTGTTTTAAGGGATGAGCTGCCAACACTTGTTATAACAAAATAAATGAAACCCTATGGAGAGCTGTGAGCTTTTTTACTTAAATCATATTCAGGTAACAAGCATGATTTACATTTGATTGATTTAACTTATAACTTAATTTATGAGGCAGAATACCTCACCTCTAGTGAGTGGCCCAGCCCTTTGTATGTGTTTCTCTATGTGGCCCCTCATTGAGGTAACATCATCCAGTCTTGACAGACCTGTTAGATATTAGATGTCTCTCTGTTGCATGGCATGCTGTGTCTCTATTCAGTGGATTTGATAACAAGAAGGGACATCCTAGAGAATCAAACACTCAGTGGATATTGAGTTCAATGTAGATCGATTTGCCAGCGGGGGAACTGTTAAACTGTTCATGAGATACTTCAGAAAGAAGTGGAAACAAGGAAAGATGTTTGCAAATAAAAGAATGTACCTAGAAGAGCATTACCCTCACATTTCAGAGTGACTCTGAATGACCAAATGATGTTCAAGAGATGTTAAACCGTAACTAAAACTCACCTCAACTGCATTTTGGTTCCTCAAGGACAGGTGTCTGTTTGACGTGTGACATGTCATTTGCATGATTGTAATGCTTCACTGCTCCTCACAGTTTTAAGGTCTTGTGTCACGTAGAGTCTGAACCGTGTTCCTGCACTCATCCTGAGAACTGGAGATCATGTTGTCAGTAACTCTGCTTGTCATGTTGGGCTTTCTGTGTCAGGGTGAGAGACTTTGAAAATGTATCATCTGAAATGATAGGAGTAATGTATGTGTGGTTCAATGTGTGTCTTTTCTTTTCATGTTTGCATCCAATGTGCTTTGTCTTTAACTCTTTCTATTATCATTTAAACTGCTGCTCCATGTTGTTGGTTATCTAACATTTCACTTCTCATTTCAGAGTCTTCTGCCAACAAGTTCCTGACTCAGACTGACTCATCCAAGTCTGTTAGTGCTGGAGGGACTGTGACCATCAGCGCTACAGGGAGCTCTAATATTGGTGGTCTTCTCAGTTGGTATCTTCAGAAACCTGGACAGGCTCCTAAACCTCTTATATACTCATCATCATCTCTGTTCTCTGGAACTGAGCCTAGATTCAGTGGTACTAGATCTGGTGCTCAGTACACTTTAACCATCAGTAACGTTAAGGAAGTTGATGCAGGAGATTACTATTGTCTTGGCTACCATGGTGGTGGCGTGTTCACACAGTGATTTAGAGCCGTACAAAAACCTCCTTCAGTCTGAAGTAAAGCGTCCTGCTGCAGCTGCAGAGGTGAAGAGACTGAGAGGAGGAGAACTGGTCCAGTGAACACAAGAGTCATCAAGCAGAACCACCATGAATCCAAATAAAGCTGAAACACACTCACAGACACTCTTCAACACCCTGTTTAAACTATATTAATGTCATTAAATTCAGTCTCTTTATGAGTGAGCTGGGAAAGTTAGATTAATGTTGAACTATAGCCACTGATATCAACATATATTTAACAGTAACTTTATGAATGGCTCTACAAAACAATTAATGATATTACCGCAGTCCAAACATACGCAACACAATTTAAATCATTTGAAGTACTGTAAACACAAAATGTTGTTGTTTACACTCCACTGTGTATTTCAATAGATTGAGTATTTAAAAAACTCAATCTATTAAAATGTGTTGACTTAGTAAAGCTTAAAACAGTACTGATTATGCACAACATGTTCCATAACAAAATGCCTCCTAACATTCAAAAGCAGTTCCAAACCACAGTCAGGAAATACCCAGCTAGGCATCCTGACTGGTTGTGTAGCAAGCCCTGCAGAACAACCATCAAATCACAGCTGATCCATAAACGGAGTTAGAACGTGCAATGGACTTCACCCAGACCTTTCAAGTATCACTCGTCATCAACAATTCAAAACTAAATACAAAAAGATTCTATTTGCAGATTTCTCCAGTTTACAAATATTGGATATTCTCGGAATCATTTTTCTTCTTTTTATTATTATTATTTCTTTAGAACTAATACCTTCAGTTTGTGTATTTATTTAATATGGTCTACATTACTTTACATCTATTTTGTCCTTATTTATTTTCATCGTTATGGGGTTGAATTATTATTTCAGCCCTGGAAATGTCCTTGCAATATTTGTATTGGTGTATATGAGTGCATGTGTATTTGTGTACTTATACACTTGAACATCTGTATATTTGGTGTAAGTGTGAACATACAGTATGAATGTAAAAAAAGTCACTTAAAAATAAGTGTTCATAATGTTTATATGCATATATTATTATTATCATTATTTATTTGCCAAGTACATGTGTACATATGTATATATTTATATATAGTATTTTCATTTTCAAAAATGGAAGTTGAAACTGCTATTGACATGTGCAGAAAATGACCCTATCGTTTTTCTTATATATATATGCATTTATTATTTTCTTACCCTAACTTTTATATTTTATTTTCTCCAGTTTTCTTTAGTTTTCTTTATTTCTTTGTACTCCTTCATTTCTATACGTTTTTGACGCAATAATGCCAATGTTATATTAGGATGATTCACAGGAGGGCTACTTCCCATAAGCTTCAGCCCTCCCGCTTCTACTAATGTTGTTCATCTTTGTGAGTAAGAATTATAATTCTTTTTTTGTATGAATTTAGTAGAATAAAAGAATAAAAATAAATTAAATAAATTGTCCCACAATCATAAAGGATATTAATATAATACGAGGTTTCATACTGAAGGTATTAATACATCTTTCTCACAATGAACATATGAATTAAAGAAGTACAAAGACACAGTCTCATTTTAATCAACATTTTTATTTAATGATGGTTTAAAGCTCACGCCACATTTGAGATGAATGATGAGTTTCTGTTGGAGTGAAACAAATGAAATCCAGTTGAATTGTGAGCTGATGAACAAACAGGAGAATATGCAGGAAGTGAGGATTAGAGAGCAACACTAACAACTGAGCAGAGACAGCAGCAACATGTGAGCAGAGGAGATGTGTGTCTTCATGAAGATCTCTAGCAAAGCAGCGGCTTCCTCTCCAGACAGGAAGTGATGCTCTACTCCGAGCAGCGGGCAGGGTCCAGGCTTTGAGTTACAGGGCTCTGTCCACTCAGACTGGCCTCACAGCTCACTGAGCCCGCCCCCCTCCAGCTCTCTGCAGAGAGGCTCAGGGTGCTGCTCCAGCTGTAGCGGCCGTCGCTCCCCAGGACCTCCGGGCTGTGGGACCCCCCTGAGGAGCTGCTGCTGCCCCCCAGCTTCCAGCCCAGCTTCCAGGCGGAGGGGAAGCCCCCGCTGGCCAGACACACCACGGTGGCACTGCCCTGCTGCAGCTCCTCTCTGGAGGGGGGGAGGACGCTCAGGGTGGGCTGCTGCACACCCACTGGAGCAGGGAGGGAGGGGGGAGGAAAAGGGAGACATTAGAGTGAACACTTGATTATAAGGTCCTTTTTTGATGTTGTCATTTTGCTGCTGTCAAATCCTTGTGTCAGTTCTTTACGATACCAGTCACCTCTGTGGAAACATTGGTATCACTGACTTTTTTTATTTACATTTGAGTGTTGTACGTCTTTTAAAAGAACATCCATAACATTCATCTGTTTGCAACTTACACATTATTTATCTAATATATCATATTCCAATTACTTGTATCTAGACTCTCCTTGCTCTATTGTATCTGTGCTATTGTGCTGCTCTGTTGGAGGAGCCTGTGACCTAAGATGCTCATTGAAGTATCTGCACTGTAGCTATGTACACATGACAAGAAAAGCCTTGAATCCTTGAATCCTTATATTTCATCAAATATAACAGAATAAGTTGTGCTGCTGTTACTCTCATAAATCACTCGGGATCAGACCCCCATGATTCAAGTGTGAATGACTGACTTTGTGTAAAGTGTGCAAGCTAAAGATTCATTGATAATAATGATTGAATATCTTCACATGTGTGATGATGTTCTTTAAACTGACAGAGCTGAACGTCTCAAGTGAAAACAGTTCAAACATTTATCATCTGTCTCTTTCACTTCCTTTTCACTGCATGTCAAATCAATGAACCGTGAACACGACGACAAGCTGCATTAACTGATACAATCACAAGTTTAAATGAATCCGTATTTAACTTGAATTCAACTAAATAGTTGATATTTTAAAAGACAATAGATAAATAATGTAAATAAATAAAATATTGTGAACTACAAATGTAAAACTGAATGTGGCGGAGACGTCACGCGTTAACACATTTTAATAAATAAAAACATTTAGTATAAAGTTGTTATGATAATAAAATATAATATAGACAATAAACAAGTTATTTGCTTTAAAAAATGTATTTGTACGAAACGAACAATTGATATAGAAGTCTGCAAAGGTTCCTTTCAGATTACAAGAGGAGCTTAATACAAAAATATAAAAATGGAATCTAAGTTTTTTTTAACTTGAGTCTCATTTAATAATTAATGAAAGTTATATATTTGCTAATAGTTGTATAAAATACAAATCTCTGGTACTTACAGTCAACGATGAGTTTGGTTCCTCCACCAAAAGTGTACCACAGTGATACAAACTCATTGAGTGGCCGTACAAAAACCTCCTGCACTGTCAGCAAGCATGTATCACTGAGAAAGCTCCCTGATCTCACTGATAACAGAGACACATATACAGTTTTTAAATCAACAAAGCTTTTCTAAAGATATGGATTACATCTCTGGAAGAATTAAGATGATTTATGTCATTTCTCATCACTTTTCTACACCTGGCAGAGAAACCATTACAGTCTTCTACACAACTAACTTTGTCAGTTTTATATTAGTTTCTACACGGTTAAATGAACACGAGGCTTTTCAATAATAGTTATTAACAAATGTATTTGAAACAGAACTGAAACATGTTATTGATCTACAGTGAATCTCTGTATGTATGTTAATGTCAGACAAACAGACATATCATACCAACCACAGTGGACACAAACTCAAATCCTCATCTCCACTCCTGATATAAATATGTTCTTCCATTCAGATGATAGACGGTGTAAATCCAGACAGTGTTCCTCCTGGTTTCGTGTCCCACGTTGCCTTCAGTGTGCTGAGAGCAGAGACATCATTTCCATAGAGAGGAGGCTTTGCATGGTCAGCTGATCCTCCAGTGAACTGAGAAGGTTTATAGTCCTGTGAGTTCAACACTGCAGGACTCACATGTGTCAGTCAGCAGAAAGCACCATGACTCTCATCACCATCCTCATCTGGACGCTGGCCTGCTGCTGTTTCACAGGTTCATTCACTCAGCAACATTTCAAACATCATGTGCTGCCTTTCCTCTCCTTTCTTTCTGCTGAGAAATCAATGATCTGTTTCTGTGTGCAGGATGCAGCGGTCAGACTGTGACTGTGACTCAGCCTGCAGTCGAGACGTCTGCTCCAGGATCCACCGTCACTCTCACCTGTAAAACCAGCAGAGATGTTGGAACTTGTAGTGGTAATAAATGTATGTTCTGGTATCAACAGAAATCTGGACAGCCTCCAAAGCTCCTGATAAGATATGCGAGCACACTTGAATCAGGAACAGAACCTCGGTTTAGTGGCAGTGGAAGCGGCTCTGACTTCTCTATGACCATCACTGGACTGAAGGCTGAAGATGCAGCAGTTTACTACTGTAAAAGTATTCACTCTGGCCCAGTGTTCACACAGTGATTTGAAGTCGTACAAAAACCTCCCTCAGTCAGACTGCAGAGACTCTGAGCTGTTACAGCAGGAACCACCTGCAGCTGCTGAAGAGGAAGAGACTGACACAGCCCACTGAACTCAGAGCTGACTGGAACCCACCCAGCACTATTCACTTCTTATTCTTAAATATACATATTGTAGAGGAAACTTCTGTGTAGCTATGCAGTGGGAGTCACCGACTCAGGAAGGAGACACGGTAGGAGCAGTAGCTTTGATGTCAAACACTGGTGGTTTATTTGGAGTTACGGCCGGAGGATTCACATCACAAGTCCACAGCAGTCCCGGTGAGACTGCACGGGTGGGTTGCCACGTCAATTCTGGAGAGCCTGTCTCTTGCTAGCCCATTTAACTGGTTCCACAGAGAGTCATCAACATGTTTTGATAAGATAGCTTTAGATAGTTTGGGCACACTAAGTTACCAGCTTCCGCCACTTATGGCCTTGCATATGTCATGCCCTGGAGTCCTCAGACAACAGAGAAGGAAGTGTCCCAGTGTACCCACAATACAGACCATCTGTGACCCAGTATTGACCGGTCACAGAATGGGAACAATAACATTATTGTCTGAAGCAGCCTGTGTCCTTAAAGGAGGTAAACAGACGTCAAGGTTTTTCCTGTATGTCACATCTTGGCGTCTACGATAATTATTTCCCTAACACATATGTTAATGGATTAATGAGGTTAAACCCAGTCCAAAACACATTATATGTAAAACAC